TCCAAATGCATGATGCCATGCAACCCAAATGGACCATGCCGGGTCGGGTCAAGTCTTACCAATTATAGTTATGGACTTAGACATTAATCCAACATTTGTGATGCCTGGAAATGAACACAAAGTGTGCAAGCTGAAGAAATCATTATATGGTTTGAAACAAGCACCAAAACAATGGCATCAAAAGTTTGATGATGTTGTCTTGTCTAATGGTTTTGCATTAAACCAAGCTGACAAGTGTGTATATAGCAAATTTGATACTTCTGGTAAAGGAGTCATGATTTGCTTATATGTAGATGATATGTTGATTTTTGGTACTGATTTAGAAGAAGTTGATAAAACCAAGAAATGCTTATCATCTGGTTTTGATATGAAAGACATGGGGGAGGCTGAGGTAATTCTTGGTATAAGAATTAGAAAAGGAAACAATGGGATTTCAATTTCTCAATCTCATTATATTGAGAAGATATTGAAAAAGTTTAACTTTGAGAATTGTTCTCCTGTTAGCACTTCTATAGATCCTAGTCTTAAGCTTCTACCTAATAAAGAATCTCCAGTGTCTCAACTTGAATACTCAAGGGCTATTGGTTGTCTAATGTATGCCATGATTAGTACTAGGCCTGATATAGCATATGCTGTTGGAAGGCTTAGTAGATATACTAGTAATCCTAGTTCACATCATTGGCAAGCTGTGAGTAGAGTATTCAAGTACTTGAAAGGGACCATGAATTATGGTTTAACTTATAGTGGATATCCTTCTGTTTTGGAAGGTTATTCAGATGCCAGCTGGATTAACAATTTAGAGGATCACTCCTCTACAAGTGGTTGGGTGTTTCTTCTTGGAGGAGGTGCCATTTCTTGGGCATCTAAGAAACAGACTTGTATTACTAACTCAACCATGGAGTTTGAGTTTGTTGCATTGTCTGCTGCTGGTAAAGAAGCTGAGTGGCTAAGGAATTTGATTTATGAAATTCCATTATGGCCCAAACCGATATCTACAATTTCTATCAGATGTGATAGTGCTGCAACATTGGCTAAGGCTTATAGTCAAGTGTACAATGGAAAGTCTAGACATTTAGGTGTTAGACATAGCATGATTCGTGAGCTCATCATGACTGGTGTGATATCTGTGGAGTTTGTAAGAACTCTGTTGAATTTAGCCGATCATCTAACCAAAGGGTTAGCAAGAGATCTTGTGCACAAGGCGGCTGTAGGGATGGGTTTAAAGTCCACTTAAAATCTTTTATATTGAGATACCCAATTCCCATCTAATGTAATATTAGATGTTGAATTCAATGTGGAAAGCTTCATATTTGAAGATTGGAACACATTATTATTATCATCCCAAGGTATGTGTTCAGTACTGTAAGTTAAGGAGGTTGAAATTTTATTTCTTAATAGTTCTTTGAAAAGTTGCATTTGCAGGTGTAAGAACAAAAGAACTACCTATATAAGCATGAAGTTTAGCTGCTTCAAGAAGTTAGGACTTGGCTTTGATATGCTTATTGAAGGATGGGACACAAGCTAGTAAAATATAGTGTCAAGTTAGAACTTTGAGAATGTAAACTGTTGTGTATATTATCTTCATGTATTCACTTAGAATAGAAAGGGTTCAATCCTTAGTGACACCCTAATATTCGAATATTTGGAATGAATAATATACTAATGTGAAATCCAATCGTCACGATATTTCATTTATGCATCAGTTTTGTTGGTGTTATGTTTCATTTTAAGTTAATCAAGATTACACTTAAATGGGGGAGGTTTGTTGGTGATTTGTTATCATCAATGTTATTTAAGTGTAATGGGATTACTTTGTTGACTAAAAATGATCTTGATAAATATTAAACAAGTAAGGAAGGTGTGGAGTACACACTTGTTTAAGTTTGATCAAGTATCAAAGTATACTGTCATTTAGGGGCGAAGCCCCTGAACGAACGGGGGTCCGAGTGCAGCGCCCCTGGGAGCGGGGTCCAAGGGGCAGAGCCCCTGGCTGGGGTCGAGGAAGGTTTATATTGCTGTATTAAAAATGCATCAGAAAATCCAAATTTTGAGTATTTGACCCGTTTTTGACTTAGCATTAATCCTTATACAAAACCCGGATTTATGACAGTTTTGACTGTTGAGAAAAACTGTTATATGACAGTTTTGACAGTTTTTCAGACAAGGAAGGTTTATAACCAATTTTTAGTCAGTTTTCTGGTACTCACGAAATTACACCATCTCATTCTCTTTCTTTCTCTCTGATTTTCTCTGAGTCTTATCCAATTGAGGATTTGGGAGTACCACCCAAATACTTCGATTTGAAAGTGTTTTATCACGATTCTCAGATTTCCAAGTGCCACTAAACCATATTTCTAACATAACTTGTATAAAGTTCTAAATAATAACTGTTATATTCTTAGTGGGTCGTTATAACCATACTAATATGACGGAGTGTCTGTTTTGAAATTCTTCAGGCGTCGGTTTCGTTTAAGACATTTGTCACCCTAGACTGACCGGTCTAGTTGTAGCGAACAACGAAGGTGCGGGGTGTCAACCCCGTATAGATCTATACACAAATTCCCGCTCCCCCTCCAGGAGACTCTGGTTATAACTCTTACAGGACTTAAAGTGTACACTATCATATATATATATATATATATATATATATATATATATATATATATATATAGGTACTGTGAAGATGCGTCTGACTAGAATACTAACAGGTGTTTGTGCCAAAAAAAATCGTTGTAATCCGTTATTTATTACATAAATAACAGTAGTGTACTCGTTGACTAGATATTTCGTTTTCGTTTATAGAAAATACTCCTTTTTAAATCAAGCTTGTAAAAAATGACCCAATATTCTTGATGTTGGCATAAATGGTCCATTTCCTCCAAAATACTTGTTTAATACAAGCATAATAGGAAAATAAATCAAGGTTTAAAACAAGGTTTTGACTTGTATTCTCCCCCAAAAACCATAAAACTCGAAAAAGTAGGGGTATGAAGCTCACCTTGAGTTGGTTGGAGTGATGGGGTAAAGATCTCAAGCCTAGACTCGTGGGTGAGTTGAGGGACTTCCTTGGAAGGAATGTTGTCTTAATAGTTTTTGTCACATATCATTATTAGTGAAATAATGTGGATTTATCTTGAAATTATATAAAATACTAGATGAGTGGAAAAACTTAGTTAAAACTCTAAGGAGGACTTGAGAAATTTAGCCTTTAACAAGATCCTTGTTCTTGCTCTTGAGAGGAGTATTAGAGAGAATATGAGAGAAGTGAGAGAAATAGTGGAGTTAAAAGCTCTCTTTATGTCGTTGCTTTAAGGGGATAAAAGAAAAAAGGGGGGAAATATATGCATGGGAATCTGATGGTTCAAACATTGTTATTTGGTGGGTAATACATGGGTTACTGTGATTTGCATGGAGAATGGGAATTACATCCAATCATAAAGTCAATCCTCTTATCCTTATGTTATTCTCATCTTGATTTAAAATAATACCTTTATAAATCTTAAATATTATTTTATGTAAATGTGTTTTAAATACTCAAATTTTGCATAAAACAGGGGTTTGAGGGGTCTAAGTTATGAACAATACGAGATTGATGGGATTCCCGACGTCAAAATACCTTAAAATGAAGAAAAGGTTCGTAATGGTCTAAAATCCGGAGTTAAACCATGAATTCCGAATTCCTTCTCAGGTTCAGAGTGGGTTCAAGAGGTTCCGGAGTGAATCCACAAATTCCGGAGTCAAGTCATTAGTTCTGAAGTCCTTCTTCCGATTCCGGAGTCGCACAGCAGCTTCCGAACTCGAGGTTGCGAAGTCAGCTCATCCAGAGTCGTTTCCTTCCGAGACTATGAGGGCTTCCGGTCCGAAGTCAGAGGTCTTCCGGAGTGGGTTCGGTCCGGAGCATGCGAGATTTTCCGGAGCAAAACAGGAGGTTCCAAAATAGGGGGGTTCCGAAGCGAGATTGTCCGGGGGGGGGGGGGGAATGGTAGTTTTCTCCTTTCGTTTTGAGATGGCCTCGACTAAGGAAACTACATAGAGAGATTTGAGGTGGATAGAGAGATTTGGGAGAGATTTGAGATACACAAAGAGATTTGGGAGAGATTTAAGACACACAGAGAGATTTGGGAGAGATTTGAGATACATAATTGCTTTGCATTATAACAATACATGGTTCATTTGGACCCATAATATAAACTTTAACGCGTTAGTACAAGTCTTATAATAGTTGATGTTTACATGAGGAAAAAATTTCCTAGCTAAGAATGCTAGTTGTGACAAAAACCGCAATTCATCCTTCATGGTCAAGCTTTCGCATGTGATTGTTAGCGTTGTCAAAACCTCTGCATTAGCCAACATGTATTCTAGGAGCTGTATATCACACTTCGACCCCATGCAATTTTTAATTTTCATGCTTCTGAGGTTTGAAAGAATACAACTAGGAACTGATTCCGGCTCAATCCAGCAAGAGTCTTCCACCTTTTTCTATATCACAAAACCAGATAGAGAACTTAATGTTATATATAACTTGGAAAACATAGAATAAGACATATATAAATGTTTACAAACAAGGAAATTACCTCTTCAATACATAAATGTTCTAACTCTGGAGAGCTTTCAAGCACTTGAAAAATAGCAACCATTGAAAATTGAAAGAGACCTTCAATTTTAAGTGCTTCAAATTGGAAAATTTCGGCAGAGGTAAATCACTTGGGACCTTCAACAAAAGGGAAAACTAGTGATCATGAATGATTGAATACAAGAATCATTCAAAGTGTAAAGCGTTACTAACAAATAACAAATTAAAAGTTTAACGTTCTTTAATACAATCTTACAATTAAATTGAACAATGAAAGTGATTTAGCTCCACTTATTCCTTTTAGAACGTCAGTCGGATACTTAAAACTCCCAGTAAGAAAAAAAAAACAGTTGCGTCAACCAATGATGATAAATCTTCCATCACAAAATGTGAATCTAACATCCCATCAACCAAAAGGTACTCAAGATTAGGGACATTCAAAACAACTTTGTGTTATGCAATTCCTTGCTGTTAGTTCCAGTCTCTTCAAAGTAGGGATGTTAGAAATGTAGTCTTCATTATCAAGTGATGCCATTGTCAGAGATAAATTTTCAAGCACCGAGCAGTCATGGATGAGTTTGAGGACAAAATGTTTACAATGAACACTAATGTAAAGGGTTTTCAGACAAGGAAGTATGAGTAGAGGTGGAAGATTGAAAAAATTCGAATGATTAGAACTCACAACTAAGCTTAGTTTTGTGAGTGTTTTGCAAGTGAATAGGCTTTGAGGCAGCCCAACCCGACGAACGTTTATGTCAAGCTCACAAACATTTAATCTAACTACTTTATCGATCCACTTTGACACACTTGACTTTGGCACCACATAACGGGTAAAATGTAACTTGAATAATTTAACTTGGGAAGTTTTGCAGAGCTCCAATACCCGATCCACAAATTTCATAAACCAATCGAGACCACAGGTGGGATGAGATTCGTTAAAGTCAAGGTTTGTGACCATCATCCAACTCTGCCTCCATCTTTTCGATAAAATGCAACTTCGAACATCAAATTTTGTAGGCATTAAAGAGAGTATATGTGAAAGAACTTCTTCAGGCAAAGAGCTAAGCCTATCTTCATTCTTGCTCCTGAAACTCATTTTTCAGACCTCTTCACTTCCTAATAAATTAAACAACACAGATTTCAGTATCCTCTAAAGACCTTGTCATATTTAATATCACATTAAATACTTATTTAATTTCACCGCATATCCAACAATCCAAATGGCTGTTTTAAAGTTCTTGGTAATTACAAACCTATTATATTAAAATAGGCAAAAATTCATATCAATTTTAAGGAAAAAGAAAGTGTGAAAGTAAAGCGTCGTTGAGAAACGAACTCAAAATATAGTAGTATTATTAATATATGTATCACGAAAAACAAGGAAGCCCGAGTTGAATGTATAACGCACTGAACATAGACTACGAATGCGAAACGAACATTAACTGCGAATAATCCAAATGGAAATCATTACACACTTTAAGACATGCAAAACAGAGAAGAAAAATGCTTACGACGAGTGAGGCGATAGATGGTAACTCGGTGGTGGCAGACGGCGATGGGGGGTATTTTCAGACAGTGATTCGGTGAGGGTAGAACACGATTGAGGGAATATGTTTTAATCTTAGTTATTATTTATCTCGTTATAAAATATAAAATGATAATTATGAAAAAAGATTTTGTAATCGACATTGGTGTTCGTTTGGATGGATCGGTTTGATCCAATCCAATCAAGTAAATCCAAATTGATTTCGGTTTTCAAAACATGGATCCGAATTGTCCAAACTAAATTCAAATCTGATCCGATCTGATCCAATTACAATTCGGTTGGATCGGTTTTTATAATTCGGTTTTCAAAAACCGAAATATTTTAAAACGACATATAATTATAATATTACCCAACTTTACACAAGAAGCAAAAACAAATAATTTAGTTTTGATTTGAAATTTATAAACAACTAATAAGAAGATATATTATAGTTAAATATTTATAGATACAAAACTTTCGAGAGAAAATGTATATTAATGTTTTTTTATCGGGTGAAACATTTTGTACCTATTTGAAAAAATAAATTACAAAATTAATAAATAACTATAGATATATATTATAAATAGATAAATAATAAATGTTTATTCGGTTTTTTTGGACTATTCGGTTCTTATTTTATAAACCAAAACCAATCCAAAATCCAAAATAATAATTCGGTTTTGTTGAAAACCAATCCAAAAATCTGAATATCCTAACCAAATAGTCCAATCCAAATTGTCCAATTGGATAATTCGGTTTTATCCGAATAGTGAACAACCCTAATCGACAATCAAGGAAAAAGAAATCCTAATCGTCTACCATATTTTTATAAGTCTATATATAAAATAAAATTCAATATCACCAAAATTCGTTATATTTGAAACAAGATACATTATTATTCCCTCCGTCTCAAATTAATTGTCCACTTTTAATTTTTGAAGTCTTTTTTCTTAAACTTTGACCTTAAATGTTTTTATTTGTATGATATATTAATTGATGAAACTTATAACAATGAAAAGACATTTAAAATACAATCCATTCATATATTTTCCATTGAGTATTACACTATTATGTATCAAAAACAAAAATATTTAAGATCAAAATTGAAGAATAAAGACTTTAAAAGTCAAATGTGGACAATTAATTTGGGACGGAGGTAGTATTTCTTAATGTTAATGTTAATGTGATAATATGGTAATTTAATGTTTAATCCTCTCTAATAAATGAATGTTTTTTTTTGCCACTTGTTAATCTCTAATGAGTTTTTTTTTTCAATTTTGTGATATTTTTAAATAAATAATATCTACATGTCAATTTATGGTTTTTTTTCAACAATTTTTAAAATTAAAAAACCACATAATACTTATACTTATATATGTAAAGTATCAAATCTAATAAATATTATACTAAATTGCAATTAATATGTTTCTTCATTCCTTATTTCAAAATTTTATTTTAAAAAATAATTTATTATTTATATTTTAATATTTTATTATTTTAATCAATCCGTGTAATACAATGGTTCTATACGTAGTACTTTAATAATAAGAATGATTTTGCTACATGTTTTTCTCTCGTTCAATTGGCCACATGTATTTGGTTAAAGGGGCGATTTAAAACCGAACCACTTCTAAAATCTAAACCATAAGTGCAAGCCTATGGGCCGGACTAGATACCAAACCTAATGTTTCTTTTGCATATTTTCATTGGACTCGGTCTAAAGTTGGGACTGGTTCCTTACAATTGCTTCCAAAAAGGGGTAGGATTCGGTTAATCAATGAAAAAAAGACTCTGTCGATTTTGCCCTCTAGAAGAATGTCCCAAGCAGAAGAACGACTTACGCAGCCAACTTCTTCCTGCTCTCCGTCTTCTTCCTCAGCTATGTTCCTGTGCGATTAATTAATGTGATAAAATTTAGAACCAATAACAAACAGTACCATAACATGTTATTTCTATTTATATTAGATCAAAGGATCCCCATGACCCCATCATTTGGATTTGCATCATGTCTGCCCTCATCCACTGGACGATTGGAAATGTAACTGTTGACGAGAGCGTTAAGTAACAGAAAAGGATTGGAGATAAGAAGGAAAGTATTGTAAACTGTATAAAGTCCTAGTTTTTAGGCTAATTTCTTGCAATTCTGTTGTATTTCCCTTGTATATATTGTATACGCCTGTGAATGAATAATATACTGATTCCTTCATCATCAAATCTCTTATTCGAATCTAATCCATAATTCTACATGGTATCAGAGCGCATACCAAACCACGCTGAATCTGAAGTTCTCAAACTCTGATCTTGAACTTGAACCCGAATCTTACGAATGGGTGATAAGGGAGGCTCGTCAAACACAAACCCGATGATCATCCAGAATGTTCAAGACGCACCGTTTCCAACTAGAATCACTCACGATGATACGAACTACCCGTTGTGGTCTCAACTCATGGAGATGCGCATCGGGGCTCGCAATAAATCCGACTACATCACCGGTAAAACACCTAAGCCCACCTCCGGCAATGAAAAAGAACTCGGAACTTGGCTCATTGATAATAATCGAGTCAAAAGCTGGCTAATTGACTCAATGCAGCCATCCCTAATCCGGCGTTTTATCAGACTGCAAACGGCGGTGGAGATTTGGGAGGCTGTCGGAAAGACATTCTATGATGGAAGCGACGAGACCCAACTGTTCGAACTGAACCGACGGTCTTTCAATACCCGGCAAAACGGACGTGCACTACCGACTTACTACAATGAATTGGTACGTATTTTTCAAGAAATTGATACTAGACTTACTGCACAGGAAGAAACAGTGGATGAAACTGTGACTGCGAACAAAACTATCACACGCCTCCGTGTGCACATTTTTCTAGCTGGCCTAGATCCTGATTTTAGCCAAGCTAGAAGTGAAATATTGAGAAAGGATCCACCACTAAGCCTAGAATCCAGTTATGCTTATATCAGAAGAGACTTTAGCCAAAGACAGACTATGGAGGAAAAGAAGGTCGAATCCGACAGCATGGTTCACCTGGCCTCTCGTAACGTGCCACAAAAAGGAAAAAAATACGACTGGAAAAAAGAATAAATTTTCATGCACCCATTGTGGAGAGGAAGGTCATTCAAAGCAAAGGTGTTATGAGATAATTGGCTATCCGGAGTGGTGGGATTTTACGAAAAAACCGAGGAAGAAACTTAGCCAAGCTGTTGCAGTGAATGCGACTCAACATCCAGATCCTCCAATCGTAGCTCATACCTCCACTCCTGACTCGCGTACGTTTTGTAAAACTCAACAAAAACCGACTAACTGGATCATAGACACTGGTGTCTCCGACCACATGGTAAATGATAAGTCTTTTTTAACAACATCATGTAACTCTAAACAAAGCATAATACAAACCGCAAGTGGTGACTCAGAAAAAGTTACATGTGAAGGAACTGTACACATATCGAACTCTATGAACATTGATTCAGTTCTTGTAGTCCCATCGTTATCATCTAATATTCTATCAGTTAGTCAAATCACTGAAGCTTTGAACTGTTATGTAATTTTCTGGCCAAACTACTGTGTGTTTCAGGACATAGTGACACACAAGATACTTGGTTATGGTACTAGGCGAGGGAGGCTGTATTACCTGAAGGACAGTCATGAGAGTCAGGCGTTTCATACTGGAGTAAAGGAAGTGAATAAGTCCATGGCGATGTTGTGGCACCGTCGTCTCGGGCATTTGTCTTTTGGTTATTTAAAAAAACTGAAACCAAATTTATTTCTAAATTTAGTTGAAAGTGAATTTAAATGTGATATTTCTGAATTGGCAAAAAACACAAGGATTTCGTATGTTCCTAGCAATAATAAAGTTTCTACTCCTCTTATTAAAATTCACTCTGACGTTTGGGGGCCTGTCCCAATCTCTACTCTTAATGGTGCATGTTATTTTGTGACTTTTATTGACGAGTGTACTAGAATGGTGTGGGTTTCGTTACTTAAAACCAAAGGAGATGTGTTGCTTGCATTTAAAGAGTTACATAAACTAATCAAGACTGAATATAGGATATATATATCCAAATATTACAATCTGATAACGGTGGTGAATACATAAACTATGAGATGGATCGTTTTTGCCAGGAAAATTCTATTAGACAGCAGACCTCTTGTGCTAGGACCCCACCCAACAAAATGGCCTAGCTGAGAGAAAAAAACAAGCAATTATTAGAAATTGTTCGTGCTTCCTTATTCGACATGAATGTACCACAGAAATTTTGGGGAGAAGCAGTCAGGTCTGCTGCATACCTCGCGAATAGAATGCCATCTCGCGTACTTGACTTTGCCACACCTTTACAAAAATTACAAGAGCTTGTCAAGCAACCAATTAATCTTGGGCTTGAACCAAGAATATTTGGTTGTGCCGCATATGTTCACAAAAACGAAGGTAAACTTGAACCAAGGGCTGTGAGATGCATGTTTATTGGATATGCACACCAAAAAAAGGGCTATAGATGTTATGACCCACTCGAAAATAAAACTTATGTGTCTCGCGATGTGTCGTTTCATGAAAATACTAAGTTTTATGGGG